TTACATGAATTTTGTGATATTACAAAATTATGTGATTTTATGTAATATTTTATGATCACAAAAAATCATCGTCCCTGACCCCAGGGTATAGGTTAAGTTTCCCCGAGCTAGAGGGGTTCACTAGTCACATCACATCAGGTGATCAATCAAATTGCAATTCGATTGGGTCCGGGAAGATCTTCGACTAGTTTACAATCTACGCGCGTATTGTTTACAATATAACCTTTAGAAGATGAACCAAAGAAATAATGAATACCAGAAAGAAACTGAAGAAGCTAGAATCAGCTCGCCAATCAGGTAACGCCCAAATACATAATATGGTCTAAACTTACGTAAACGGTATGGATTAACCTTATATATCTCCAGTAGAGTGCCAATCCAAATGTCATTGAAAAGCTTTGATATCGGGCGTGGTATTGGTAAAGGACAATTTGGTCGTGTTTACATTGCAAAAGAAAAAGAAAGTGGTTATATAGTAGCTTTGAAAGTGCTATCTATTAGAGAACTAATTAAAGCTAATGCTGAAAGACAATTGAGACGCGAAGTAGAAATTCAGGCCAATCTAAGGTAATTAATATTAAAAAAAAAAAGAATATATCTATATATACAATAACTTTTTAATGACTAAATATCATAGACATCCAAATATTCTTCGACTTCTTGGGCATTTTCAAGACAATATATATTTTGTCTTGATTCTTGAATATGCTGCCAAAGGAGAACTTTATAAGCAACTTGTGAAATCAGGTAGACTTAAAGAAAAGAAAGCATCAAGGGTTGGTTTTATTAAATTTTTCGCATAGGTTTTTTACATAAAATATTTCCTGAGATCTTTTTTCTTTTTCTAAAATAGTATATTGCGCAAATGGCTGGGGCTTTAAGCTATATTCACAAAAAGCACGTTATTCATCGAGATATAAAACCAGAGAACCTGTTGATAGATTTGAACGATGAGATCAAGATTGCTGATTTTGGATGGTCTGTGCATACACCAAGTCAAAGGTATGCTATAAAAGAAGTCGATCACTTCACTACGTAGAAGAATTTTTGTTCAATTAGTTTGACCTTATATGTCAGGCGTAAAACATTTTGTGGAACATTGGATTATATTCCGCCAGAAATGGTTGAAGGCAAAGAACATGATGAAAAGATCGATCTTTGGTCGCTTGGCGTTTTGTGCTACGAACTTCTGACTGGTACTGCTCCATTTGAAGAAAGTGGTCATACTGCAACATATAAACGAATAGCAAAAGTTGATTTCACACTTCCTGATCATTTGTCGTACGACGCTAGAGATTTGATTTGTTCGGTAACTATCTTTTACAACCAAAGTACTCGACTAGCAATGGTAGCTTTGATTTTAATTTCCTAATTACCAACACAGTTACTACAACGTGACCCGAAACGACGTTTACCTTTGAAAGATGTCTTAAAACATCCATGGATTCAAAAATACAAGAAGAACTAGAGTTTAGAACCGGGTTATAGTAAACCGGGTCACCCGTGTCAAAAATTTACAACTTGGGTCAAAACGGTTGAATATGTAACCTCTAACAATCTGTTACTAATACACAGAAAACAT